TTGAAACTTAAACCAAAGAGAATATACTCTGTCTTGTCAAGATTGCAAAAACAATTAAAATAGTCAATTAAAACCAATCACTAATAAAGGACTCATGCCATAAGAGGATAAGACTTGAACCCAAATTTTAAGAATGTTTTTACCTATGGCAGATCGATTGAATAGTTAAGAAGAAAATTCTTCATGTGCAGTATAAAATGAATCAACTTATCACTTTTATGCCTTTTGTAGATCTAAAAATAATCCATTACATACAATACTGCCTTTGTCCCAAATTTTTCCAAAATTTAATACAATCTCGTTAAATTTGAACCAAACATGTATCAGGTTGAAAAAACATTTCTAAACCCTTGACTGAAACTTGCCCCTGACCATGACAAAAACCCATGACTGTCAGAAAGACCAATTGAAGCTATCCCGGGCCGGGCGCTACACATTTTTCCCCCTTTTAATAATTGAAACAGTTTTAAACCACAAAAACATATTTCCCCCACTATATTGGGATTTGTGTCCTTGAATTTCTGGGATGTTTTAACAGAGCATAGTGAATTAAACCGGGTTTTATATGCCAGTCTTAGGATAAGAAAAACTTTCCGCCTTTTGCCAGAAACTCGAACCTGTTGAACCACCAGCGAACCAATGTAAGGTGGCTGTAGCCAATTGAAGCCCTATCCTTGGCCGCCTTACACATTTTCTCTCTTAAATTAGTGAAACCAGTTATAAACCCTGACAGATACTTTTAGGATTCCTTTTTTATTGACAGGGTAGGCATCAATTCCCTTCCATAAAAACAAATAAGAAAAAAAAAACTTACATACCTCACTCAAAATAACAATTTATAATATTGCTTATAATTATTTTTACTTAAGAAAAGGGCTTAGACAGTTATTGGTTTTGTGCCCATTATTTATAACCTGTCAATTTTTGAAGTGAAACATAACTGTACCTAATACATGTACAATATCTAATTTTTGTACAGACAAAAAAAAACTAACCTTTTTTTCTATGATAAGAAATTTTATGAAGGCTGATTTGTATTTTGCCATTCAGGGGGCACCGGGCAAAAAACATGAAAATACAACAAACGAACCACTTTGTGGTAGATTGGTATTTTCATGTTTTCAATATGGCGCCCCCGGTCACTTTTTGTACTTTGTTGGTTTTCATGTGGCACAAATCACTCAGTTTAAAATTTAGTGCACAAATTTATTTAAGTTCAAGTAACAATCTACTCTATGAAAAGTCTGTTGTCCGGTTGACTCTTGAGACCTGGATGTTGAGACCGGTGTCCCTCCTTTCCACATTGATAAGACAGAACTGATCCAAGTTTATAAGGAAATTTTGAATCAATTCATGCATTATCATTTATAACTTTATCCCTTTAATAATAATGTCATAACTGTAACTCTTTAAATACAGAAGTATTTTAAGTCATATCATATACATATACTAAGATATACATGTATGCACATAACATTAATAATTCCCAGTTTCTATTAAATAAATATGAAATCCTAACATTTAACATTAACCATCTGGGTTACTAAATGGATGGGGAATTCAAAATCTTTAGTACTAGGGGAAAGAAAACTTATTATGTTTAAAACTCTAGGTACTATAGATACTTATTATTAGGCCCCAGCTTTAACACTGGGTTAGAAAAAACACCCTATAACCTGTAGACTAATTCAGTACATGTATTATCATTTTATAAATTTAAATGCAAGTCTCCATCCATCATAACTGTTTAAGTCTTTAAATACAGAAATATTGTAAGTCTCATTCATTTAACCCAGTATTACTAAGGATTACACATGGTATGCCACATTACCACAGAATAATTCCTCAGGGTTTCCATTAAATATAAATATAGCATCCCTTTAGCATTGTTACTTGGATGGAGATCATAATCTAAAAGTAAAAAAAATCTCTAATTGTCTATATATATATCATATAATAAAGATTGAGTTGTATGAGTGTCTAAACATTAAATGCATATCTCTTGCAGTAACAAATACTGTCCCACTTTTAACATTCCTACTATATAATTGACTGCATATATATCAAGTGTTAAAAATTGATAATTTCAGGATGTTATCCTTTCTCTGTTTCAATATATGGACATGAGCATCTATATGCATAGCTTTAATTTTCTATCTTTCATTTTATTATTTTATTAACAATTTATATACAAACACATAGAAAATAATAATTAGTTTCACATAGTGGTAGCAAAAAACCTTTAGGTATGTACTAACTGAATAAACTAGAAAAATCCAGTCTAAGGTATATAAAGCCATTACAAAAATCTATCAATATTCACTCCTCAGGGCCTCTATGCTTTTGATGACCTTACAACTGGTAAATTTTATAAAAACAAAAAAAGTAAGTAATACATAAAATAGACAGAAAAGAACAAATAATTTAGTAAACTTGAGTTACTTCCCCTTAAAATAGAGAAAACCGGAAACCCAAAAGAACACCATAAACAGCAAAATTATGAAATGTTGCAGGCTCAGTTTTATTAAGCCATACATAGAAATGGTAAAGTATTCATTAAAAGTTAGATGACCATTTGACAGCAGTAACTGTAGAAAATCGGATAGCTTTCAACATCCGGATACTGGTACACTTTGTAAAAACAATCATTCTGTGCAATAGATAAACGTAATATGGATAAAATCAATAGGTTAATCGTTTACAACAGTGCTATTACCAATCCTTATACTCATTTGCAGGCGAACGTTCTTCTTGTAGGAAAATTTTGAAAATATATAAATGAATGAAAAAGAATACGGCATCAATGTAGACCACAACGATATTGGAAGTCCGGGATTTAGTATTGCCGATAAAGCAAAGGGACAAGCTGTTAAACTGAGCCTGCAATTTCGTGAAAATAATATCACAATGCACATGCTTTTTACATAAAGTTATTAAATACAAATATAACAACACATTTTTTTACTTGATTTTTACGAATCAAAATAAAACTTATTAACACAACATGACATTAACTGCTAATAATAACAGCTCCTTCCATAGGCCAAAATAAAAAGCATTCCATAAGAGACGACGCCGCTCACCGGCGTCGTCAATAACTCACGATGGCCCCAAATGCAATGCATGAGCATTTAATACGAGAACCCCAAAAGCGGAATTGAAAGATCATGTAACACAATTTGTTATGGTTTTAAATCATAAATATGATACTCAAATTAAGATTTATCAATATTGTAGGTTCCAAAAAGCATTATTTGTAAAACAATTACCTAATTTAACATTTCATGTAAATAAAAAATTATTTTCTATAAAGTTTAAGTCTAATTTTACAAAATAAGAAACGAATTCATATATTTTAATGATTACATATAATATGCACAAATATTTGCAGTAGATATTTTACATATTCTTCGATGTTTGAAAATTGTTTTATTTGCATAATTATGTACATTTATATAATATCACTTAGTTTGATCACAACATACAGGATACTTTAATCAGATTTCGAGGTGTACATAAATTGATGATAAAGTGATATATTTAAATGATACCAAGTAAGAAAATTTGATAATAATAGAAACAAATGACGTTTCTTGTTTTTGGATAAATGAGAATAAGCATTATTTAAAAAGTATAGCTCACTAGTTTTTTTTTTCACTGGTAACATTCTATAATTTTAACCTGAAAATACATACACGTTCTGTAAAGGTACGAGTTATGTTTAAGAATGTCGTTCACTGTGGCTGTTATGAATTTCTTTCACGATATTCCAAGACGCAGATATCGGAACTTTTCCTTTATATACAGTCAAGAAATCAATACAAAGTGTTTACAAATAAAACGTCCGTGACAATTAATCATGAAAATAGGTACGCGACCTGGCACACGCTAAAAACAAAGGACGTTCGGAACGTCGCAAAATACATAAAAAATACCAATACTTATAAATACTTTCCTGGATACACCGGAACATGCTACTTTCTTTTGAAATAATGAAGTGTGGAAGAAAGCGGTTACCTTCTCGCAAGCGTTTATAAAAAAGAAATTATAACAATAATTACTGTGTACCGTTATTACACTTATTTATTAGTAATACGCATATTTCCAGATAAATAAAGTAAAATATTGAGTAAAAAACATTGTTTGGTTAGTATTGAATGTGTAGATCCGAAGCATAAAATAAACATTCTAGGCAGCGTTCATTATTGCGTTTTTGCAATTGACGTTTCTCACGTCCTGACAATTTGCAGCGCTCTCCTTGGTCCATTTCTATCTTTTTTTTTGTATTCGCTGTTTTTGAATCGCTTGCGCCGGCTGAATACGAGTGATGTGCTGACCGATTCATTTTTATTCGTTAATTGAAGCAACATGTAAATTGTTAGCAAAATTATAGATGTCGTCAATTTCTAGTTTTTCAACGTTTGTCAGATTTTTCAATTTACGATATTAACTACTGATGTTTAAAACTTGTTTATTTAGACATCAATTGACGTCGAAATTCAAAATCAAGTAAATAAAACATGAAAAGACATTTTATCAGCATTTTTACCCTAAAATGACCGTTTAATTTAATTCAACGTTGGTTTAAATTTACATTTCGGCGAAAAATTTAGAAACTCTTTTGACTCACATCAATCAAGACACATCATGAATCCATGAACCTTTCAACATAACTTGCATGGTCATGTTTGCGCATAACACACTAGTAACCTCTCCTAGTCAGTATCACGAGCTATAATTGATGTACTAGATGTTGCTTATAAAAAAATAGATGATTTTTTTATATTTTTTGTACACTATTAAGTCTGATACAAACATCTGTTTGTTTAAGTCAAAGAAAGAGTCTATAACGCAATATGTAAAACAGCAGAACAAATTATACAAAATTCAATACACATTATAAACATCAAACATAATATTATGCAAGTGCACATGGTAACAGTGTCAGAAAAATGTACCGTATAAAGATATCTGTAGGTATTTTGCAAAAATGTGGCATTTTATCATGTTGAGTGAAAATATATACCATATTTCACGAAAAACGAAAAAATAACCTTTTTATTTAATTTCATTATCAAAGAAAATGGTAACGAATCCCCTTGCTTGCTACCAACTGCAACTGTACAGCGCGCAGTAATTTATGCGTAAGCACGCGCTGTTTGGCGCTACATTGTGACGTCATGTAAACAACTGTTTAAACGTCTGTACAGCGTTAATTACTGAATTAAAGATATTGGTGTTCGGATTAATTTTCTTAGTTAGACCATTTTCTATCATGCTAGATAGTTTTCAAAACAAAATTAAAGAAAAAGTTGTTTCGTATTTATCAGATTTTTCAAACAAAACGGCGAAAGAAGTCCCATAAAATAAATATGAGTTTTGACTCCGCCCACTTTCATATTTATATTTCATATTTATTTTTAAAAAATATGAAATATATATGACTGATATAGCACCATATTTCATGGGTAAAATTAAATAAATATATGTATTACCAGTGTTCTGTGAAAATAACATGGTAATCGAACTAGTGGTTAAATATACCTTCTATGTGTGTGATCATGACTCAGTCGCGGGTAATCGTATGATTTAAGAAATAATATATAGAGGATATTCAAGTTTTTTCTATAAATACATGATTTATTTTCATCGAGTGGTATGAAAATAAATATTTCATGAGTGGCGGCAGCCACGAGTGAAATATGGTAATTTTCATGCCACAAGATGAAAATAAATCATGTATTTATAGAAAAAACTTGAATTTTCTGTTTATTATATACATTTTTCTCTTTCTGGACATTAAAATTTGAAAGACTTTCCCTTAAATTTTAAGTACTGGCAGAATTTAAAAGAAAGTAGTCCGGCAAGACACCAGTGAAAATACGGAAAATATGTTTCACTGCAGTGAAAAATAAATTTTTACAGTGAAAATACGAAAAATCAAAATACATATTTTATTTCATCAATATTTCTCAATATTTCATTTATAAGTATATAATAAATCCCAAACTTTGATTTTATTGCTGTTTGGAGTTCGGATGAGGGGAATTATATCACGAGGGCGTAGCCCGAGTGATATAATGATGCGCATCCAAACGACAAATATTGATGTTATCAAGCAATAAAATCACCGATTTGGATATATTATTTCGATTCTAAGATGACATCAACAAATAGATGCTGCCGTACCTGATATTCAGCTAAATTGCGCCTGATTTGTTTCCGTACTTATTGTCAGCGCGTCAGATATTTAGTGGTTACGTCACGTGTATAATGATTACGTCTAAATATAGAACGTCAAGCAGTGATTTTATTATACAATTATTGACTAGTGAGCCATTGAATATGATGTGATATTCACCGGCAGATGACATATTGACCGAGGCGATAGCCGAGGTCAATATGACTTTCTGCCGGTGAATATCACATCATATTCAATGGTTCACTAGTCAATAATTGTTTTATTATATGAATAGGCTAAGAAATTTAAAAAAAATCAGAAAAGTACAACCTTATAATTATTATACATGTACAAATTTTGCCTCGTTGAAGCGCGGGAAAAAAGACGCACGTGCTAGGCGTGCAACGACTACGCGAACGCTGCGCATACAACAATAATTCAAGTTTATACTCATCATTGCGGTGTAACCTTTAAGTATAATAGTAAAGTATTGATATTTTAATCGAGAAATATGCCAAAAAGAACAAAAAGCAACAATTATTTTTGTAATTAACACGCGTAATTAACAGTCTACGGTGTATGATCATTGAATATGAGTCTCAATCTATTTTTAGACTTTGAAAATCCAATTCAGCCAGTGAATATGATACTACACCCAGTAAATATGATTTTATAAAAAGTTCTGTTGACTACTGTTTAGACCAATGAGATTGCAGCTATATTTAGATCATATAATAAAGCATAATAACACACACTTTCGTTTCTTCTATGTTTATAAGGGAAAAATGTCGTGTTAGAATGATAAACAAAATCGTAGGAAAGTTTTAAAAAATATACATAAACCATGGACATAGTCACGCCTGTCTGGCGACATACAGAAACTCAAAATTTACACCAGTCCAAAGATTTTATCGTCAATGGTAAAGCTCAGCTACACAGCCTTTTGCACGTTTTCTTTCTCCATTATTATCAGTCGATATTCTTCTTTCATTTCATTGAGTATAGATCGATCAACATAAACATTTGGATTTTTCTTCAGGACCTCGCAAAATTTCCCGAAAGTACTATATTTATCGTTCTCCACCCACTTCAATAGCATCTTATAGATGCATAAGGTCATAGTTTTGTTATCATACACTATATGATGAAGCGATACGTTTGGTATTCCTAACGCCGGAGCGAGTATTTCCCAGTTTTCTCCTAATGCTTGTGCAAGTCGAGCAGCTTCTTTGTCAGTAAGTTTCCACCCTTCGAAGAGTGAGTAATCTGTATCTAAAAAGCAAATCAGGATTAAAATCAAAGATTGTATCAATAATCATTTATAAATAACACGTACTAACGTTATGTTTTCATTAGATTCAAACATTTAGGTTCCATATACTATGAATCTTTTTGGTTATTGCAATTAAAAGTGGTTTGGGAATATAAACAAGTCGGCCATTGACCCCAATGCGCTCACCTAAGTACTAAATGCAATTGATATACAAAAGTGAAGTTACCAGGTCTAAAAAATATACAAAACAGGGTTTATTCTTTTGTGTAGGTAAGAAGTTGATATTTTAAGACAATACACCAAGAACTTTAAAGTTATGATCAAGGTTAAAGTTTGTGGATGGGAACAGTTATATAGACATGAAGGTTAAATTTGTAGATGGGAACAGAAATATAGTCATGACTGTATCAATAGCTCTATATTTAAAAAAAAAAAGAAAAAGAAAAAAAGTTGATGTAAAAATTTGTGATCTAAAATTAAAAGAAAATTGGTACTAGTTAGTCTTTAAGATTAAGTTTTAAGTTTTTAAAGGAAAACCTCCCCTTGGGCGGCCCATTTTTTTTACCCTAGGGCTATAATTTAAACAACATTGATAGAGGACCTATAGGTGATATTACATTACAAATATCTAAGCTCTAAGCCTTGTACCTTCTTTAAGTGTTTGTTTAATTTACATGGCAACAAGAGTCATGTATATCAAATATGTGCAAGTACGTTTAGTGCGCGCGTGATTTTTTCCCTAAATGCACTTTCTCTCTCATCGTAAATGAACACTTTCTTTGCAGATTTTATCTAAAGAATCAATTTTCATGCTTAGAAACTTGTTCGGATAAATATTCTGTCAGACACTAAATAAAATCATTTAGAAGGTGCTTCTTATTCTGACCAGTTCGTTTTTATAGTGTAGCTACCAGTAACTGAATAGATTTATCTCTAGAAATTAGACCTAGTATCTAGCGAAAGAGCATATAAAACGTTGTTTTTTTTTTAAATTTCATATTACATCAATCGAGTAGATGAAGATAAATCTACAAAACATTTTGGCGAGGCCTAAGATTTTAATTGATGTAAAAGCAATGATCCACTGCAGAGAATTATATGCACTATTCAGACCTGTATGCAATGAACGCAATGATGTCTCAATGACTTCCAATAAAGCGTTGCAGAAAAAACGGCATAAAATAACAGAATAAGAAAGTTATATGAATCGTAAGTGAATAATCAAACGTTCTCTCTCTGTGATAATTTTTTTTGTAGCCGAGTTCCTGGCAGTGACGTAAATAATTATAAATGAATCATAGATATTTTGTAACAGAATAAGTCTCAGTTCACGGTGTTATGTATCCTATCTAAATATTGAAGTGTTTATCTCCTTGACAATTTTGCTGGCATTATTTGGATGGAAAGCATTACATTAAATACATGAAATGAAGGTATTATGATAAATACTCTTTGAAATGATATAACAACAGACCTTTAGATCAGTTCAGGTGCCCGGCATCTATACCAATATACTTGACCTCAGTGACGTGTGAAGTTAACAAATATATCGATATATTTTTTAGATACCAGTATTTATCCAATGACCTTTACAAAAGGTTATGAAGTGCCAGGTCAGTATTGTTGGACAATTCATGTTATATATTCTAAAAGACCAAAATAAAAGTCACCTTTAGTCCTGGTTATGAATGATGAACTCTCTGTAGGCAATGACTCGCCATCATCGCTGAGCAACTTTACATCAACAGAATATTCAGTGCCTGGCTTAAGATCATCTAAGATACAGAAAAATGCTTCAGCAACATCCACAACTATTTTCTTTTGTGGCTTCTGTTTCTCTATGTATGTCACTACGTATTTTGAGTATGAGCTCTTCTTCTCATAAATGATTCCTTTCCAACGTACAGTTGCCGTTGTCTCAAATACGTCATCAACTTTAAGGAATACCGGCGATGCCAGAGGAGCTTAAAGAAAAATGTTAAGACAAGGTATTCATAATAATTATAAATTGTTTATAAATGAAAATAGGATACAGGAAAGTCATTCCGTCCTTCTAAATGAAAAAAAATAATATTTTTGTTCCTGAATAGATATGTTAATAGTTTATTGTCGCTTTCATACTTGTCGAATTTAGAACAATATATCTGTTACTATTTGTGTCTACAGGCATGTTGATTACAGTTCATTAAAGTGATATTTCATAAGATAATCTCCCAATCTAAATCAGTCAATAATGATCCCCAATATATGCCGGTGAATATTATTCACATAAATATTATCGAATTGATATTTGTTCCCGTAATGTTCTATAATACCTTAACCAAATTCAATATACTGATGATATTAACACTTACATGTAGTTTTTAAAGCTGAACATTGAATGTCATCGGCGTCATTTTGACTTCTTTCTTTCTTCTTTGTTTCTTAATAAAGAGATTTAACACAATATAAGATGGAAGAAAAGATTAACATAAATGAATGTAGTGCAAAAAATTGTCGTTAGCAAGTAAAAAAGAGTAAACTTACCCAAGTGGCGTGCTACGTAAATCTACATTGTAAAATGAAAACTAATTTTACTAGAACTATCGCTGAATGCGATTCATACCCCCACCAATGTCCTTGACAGATGACGACTTGGAAAGGTGGTTAAGGGAATAACTTTAGTAGCACAAATACATATACATAAAAAGGAATTATCTCTGGTGGAAAAAAGACAAATTGTACAGGTTATAGTATATCATTTATTGTAAAATCATGTTCGAAACAGTTACTAATAACCTTTCATTTTTCCAATGTACTAAAACAAACAAAAGCAGTGAAATTAAGAAAATAGCATTATTATGTCAAAATGTAATTAAAATTGGAAAACTTTGCATACTGAGCTTGTGACCCTTCATATATTATGTAGTTTCAAGTGAATATCTGTTCTAGTTTCAGAAACATTTAAGTATTAATGGTTATATCAGAACATTTTCTAAGCCTAAAAGGGGCATAACTTGTGTCATAATTCAATGGAATTGTAGAATTTTCGTCATCTGAGCTTGTTACAATTCATATAAATTTTAAGTTTCAATATCTGTTCTGGTTAAAGAAATATTATAGTAAATAAATTTTAAGACATAAAAATGGACTTAACTTTGTCAAAATACAATACAAAGTTATCCCCCACACTTTTTTTATTTATGATATTTATGAAACTAGACTTGCATATCTTACTTGCGACACTTTGTTTATATTTGAAGTTTCAAATGATTATCTGTTCTAGTTTTAGAAATATTCAAGTACATGTTAAATTTTCAGAACATTTTCTAAGTCAATTTGTGACCTTCAAGTGTGACCTTGACCTTAAGCCGGCACAAAGGTAACATGAGTTCTGCATATAACCCTGTTGAGGTGAACATTTGAGTAAAGTTTGAAGAAAATATTTCCATTAGTATAGGATTTATAGAGCGGACACAACATACTGTCTAATATTTGATTGTATGTAAATTTGAAGACTTAAAAAGGGCATAACTTTGTGAAAATGCAATACAGAGTTATGAAACTTGACCTACATATCTTAATTGTGACACTTCATATATGTTTTAAGTTTCAAGCAAATACCTTTTCTAGTTTCAGAAATATTCAAATACATGTTAAAATTTAAGAATATTTTCTAAGTAAATTTTTGACATTCAAGTTTGACCTTGACCTTAAGCTGGCATGAGGGTAACATGGGTTCAGCACTTTACCTTGTTAAGGTGAACATTTGAGGCAAGATTGAAGAAAATCTTTCAATTAGTGTATGACTTACAGAGCGGACACGACATACAGTCTAATCTTTGATTGTTTGATATTTGACCTTCAATTGTGACCTTGACCTTGAGCTGATACATAGGCAACATGAGACCCTTGTTGAGGTGAACATTTGAGCCAAGATTGTAAAACAACCTTTCAATTAGTGTAGGACTTACAGAGCGGACACCACATACTGTCTTATATTTGACTGTTTGATATTTGACCTTCTATTGTGACCTTGACCTTGAGCTGAGGCATGGACAACATGGGTTCTGCACATTCCCTTGTTGAGATGAACATTTGAGCCAAGTTTGAAGAAAATCCTTCAATTGGTATAGGATTTATAGAGCGGACACGATAATGGAGACGGACGGACGGACCGACCGACGCGACAAAGCAAATAGCTGTAATATGTATATCTATGCACCTTACAAATTCATCAACCGATTCTTCTGAAATTAGCTTTCATTTTACTATGTAGATTTACGTAGCACGCCACTTGGAAAAGATAAAATATATATTTTTTTCTTCTGGCTTATTGCCAGTTGATTGGTTATGATTAAAAATGATTTATTCAAAGTTTTGAATCATGTTTAATCAAATATTGTTTATAACTGTAACGTGCCTTTATAGATGATAGGATTTCCTTGATGCTTGATATGAAAATGAGGTGTTACTTTTCATGCTATTTAATATAGTTACATAAAAATCCACTTGAATTTCGAGTTTTCAATACTTTAGTACTAACAATTACACCTAACGCATTGTAAAAGTGATGCAATTGATAGACTTCGTAAATAGTTCAAGATTCCAAGTAATTAATCTAAAATATTTATAAATTATCTCTTGGATATTACCCCTTTAAAATGAAAGCTCGCAAGTGATTGCATGGTTCTTTGAAAGACGGCGAGAAAATTACAACCTATGGGTGGATGTCAATCCTGATGTGTAGCGTTATTTAGGAGCTGACTTAAATCAGATTTGATTACAAATTTGTTAACAATTAACTTATCGGCAATATATGTATAAAATCACTAAATATCATTATAAAATCTAGGCAGGTGAGAACAATTGTCACACATTAACCCTTAATTTGTTCATAGCTAAAATGTCTAGATAAAAATACCAAGGTGGGAATACTTTCTAAAATCAAACACACGTCTACTTACTTTAATATCTATATAAACACTTCCCATTGCTTAATATAACTTCCTTGAAAAACAAATAAATAAAGAGGTTTTCAGTATGAACGTAGAAGTTAAAAAAAATTCAGCTTTTTTTCTGTTGAATTTTACTTCAAATCGGGTTCTGTAAAGGTGCGATTTTCCAGTTTTACTGGTAGAGACAAATCCCATGTTGCCTTTTATGTTATTTATCAAGCACAATTTGGCACCCTGTTAGCTTCCTCGCATCAAATGATCTCAGGCGGGATCTGCGGGGAAAGTCGTTTGAAGGCGACGATCTTAATTAATCATTCAGGAAAAGATTTTTACTAAGATATATATCAAACGTTTTCCAGCTAACCTTCAGCACATACAAGCATCAGTTGCCTTAGTGTTCCCTCTTTTCCATAGGTTAGTTCTTCTCTTGATCCATCATCATTCCATCTTACCTAGGTTTGGTGATGGAACAAGTGTTAGATAAAGTGTTAAACGAAGTTCTTTAACATAGCGGCGTATAGTCTTTCCGGGTCAAAAAAATACTGATAGGTACATGTAAAACAGAAGAAAGAAATGTCAATAAAACTATCAATGAATCTAATCGTATAGGACAGAATTATTACAATACGAGTGAATTGTCTTTTTATCAAGTTTATTTATTTATTTTCTTATTGCTGAATTGATAATAAATGAATGTAATATAAAACAAATGTAGATGATCTGAAACTAAACTTTATGCCAGACATCAGACCTCATTGAAAGCATTCAATGCTTTATGTTTGTACCTGCACTTTGTTATCACCTAGGCGTTTAATGGCAATTCCAAGTACATGGGATGAGTTTCCTTCGTAGTTGTCTCCTACAATAGGTAACATCAACAAAAAAAATCAATAGATCACCGACAATCAATTAAACTATGCTAAATTGAAAAAAAGATCAGATTTCATTCAATACAATTTACATCGTGAGATCTCATGGTGCAAACGACAATTCAGTCGGTATGAAATAAATAGAGGTATTTATGCAGAGAATCTTGCAAGATATATGGTTACATTAACTTCTGTCATATTTTGTGATTACTATCTTAATTAAATGTGCTAATTATCAGAAATAATGGAAAACAAATGAAAAGCAATCTCTCATATTGTTCAATGATTATGAATTACTGTATGTGCTCGCATTGACTAGATATTTTTACTGTCTAAATAAACGAAATTCGACGTTCTGTCAGAGAACATAAAATAAAAAAGAAATATTCCTAAAGGAATTGAAAACAAGAAATGTGGACCGACACATATGTCCCCCTCCAGCAATTGGCTCATGCTATTGGTGATTTTGTTATAAATGGATACATGGAAACGTTCAGTTACAGAATTAAAGAAAATTCATCACCTACTTGTTATTACCAATCAATATTTGAAATATAAAGACCTTGGTCTTTGAACTATTGACCCCATTATGACTAATCAATTTGTGAAATATGAAGACTTTGTGATTAAAAGTTTTTAAAGTAATGAGTGGAAACTATTCTTACATTTAAGGCCACTGTGACCTTGACTTTTGAACTAGTGATCCCAAAATTAATAGGACTAATCTACTACATATCACTACTCAATATGTAAAATATAAAGACTATATGATAAAAATACTTTTTAAGGTAATGAGCCGAATCTCTGCTGACATTTAACGTCTTTGTGCCCTTGACCTTTGATCTAGAGACCGAAGAATTAAAACGGTTCAACTACAAAATGTACTACATATGACCAATTAATATGTGACATGAAAATATAGAGATAAATAGTTTTCAAGATGACGAGCGGATACTATTCTAACATTCAAGGGCCGTCTGATCTTGAGCACTATATATGACCTTGACCTATAACCTAGTGGGCCCAAAATCAAATTGGGACATTAACTTTATATTATCAATCAATATGTGAAATATGAAGTCTTTATTTCAAATTTTCAAGATAATGAGCGGAAAACACTTTGACATTTAGGGCCCCTGTGAACTTGACCGAGTGACCTAAAATCACAGGGGTTATCTGTTAGTTACGACCAACAAGTATTTGAAATATGAATACTTTGTAATACATTATAGTTTTTTAAGAAAATCAGCGAAAACCATGTGGTTTACCGACCGACATATCAACCAACCGACAGGCAGGCCGACCGACATAAGCAAAACAACATACGTTTGATAGCAGAACATACAATAGCAAAACAATATACTCTACGAAGAAGAGGAGGCATAAAAATGTCACTAAATTTGCAAACAATTAGTCGTCAACAACAAGTCGTCTTTATTTTTTCTAATGTCCCATCATTTTTGTAATGACAGTGTATAAATTTGCTAGGCATTAAAGTCAGCATGGCCGTTTTCACAAACACGACTTTGATATACTAGTACTATGATAATGTGAGTAAAGTTAGTAAATCGATCAGAAAAGTCTGATACTAATCCAGTCGAAGCTCTTTATTGTTAAAGCACTAGATAAAGTACTTAATTGAAAATATTAAGGAATTTACAAATCACCGTACTTTCAACATTTAACAACAATATAAAAAAATCTTGACGAATGTTAAACTCAAAATACTTATCAAAGTGTATATCATATGTTTTCTTAATAAAGATGAAAACATTTTAATTCTCAAATAAAGTTATGGTTGTATCCTACCAGGTTTGACTTTGCATCCAACAGATATTATGTCACCTTCTACAGGCACTCTGTCTTCATCAACGATAGTCAAGTCACATTTACCAAGCACATCCCATCTGTAAACATCTATGTCTCCTCCAATGTCCCATTCGACCCAACACCAATATTTGCGTAGTTCTGCAACAATTAGTAATATATGAAAGTTTCCTAAAGTTATTAAATAAGTCATAAAAACAAGAGAACAAAGAAGGTCCTATATCGCTTACCTGACTATAAATTCTTTAAATGACTTATATGATTTAAATAAGGAAGTTAATACTTCTGCTCAAGTCAGGATACTAAACCACATTTCATGGTAGAAATTTACATCCAAGCGAGCCTCTTGTTTGATGATTGATTGGGCTTACCAAAACAGCTATCAAGATGGTTCTTTAGAATGCGTATGTCACTTACAATACGCTACTGTAACGGTAGTTACGGAGTTAGAGAGGATCTTGAACGATCTTTCATTGACTAACAATACGGCAGATGCAGTCGTTTAAAACCGCTTACAGCAGGCCATTCGGTATGTATATCTATCTTTTCTTTGGAACGCACTTGAACAAAAGCCAAAATGAAAAAAAAAAGAAAATTCGCTACACAACGGTAAAGAAGCAGACAAAACATGCAACGGTAAAGAAGCAGTTCATTAGCTAACTCAAGGATAGATTCGCCATGGGTATTTGAGGGTGTCCGTGTGTTGCAGCTTTCGTTATCTCTCATGAATAGACTTAATCACTCCATATCAGCAATATCAATGTGTTTACAGTGATCTCAATCTCAGTGAATCTCCCCTTCTCAAGATTATTAACAGTTGTAAAATCTTTTCCGATACTTCATTTTCGTACTGGATTTTTTTTCTGGTCTGTCATGATCATAAACGTTTAGTTTAAAAGATTTAATACAACTTAAAGTGGAACATAAGACGTAGTTCACCTGTCATTATCACGAGAATATGAACGAAATTATTCAGAAAAAGCCAGAGTTATACTTAAACGCATTTGAGAAACATATTTGAAATTAAAAATACCTTGCCATGGCATTTTACATTGTCGTTTTAGAAACTTAACATACATTTACATTGTGCAGTCATAAATAAACATTGATATTTATTATAAGACTTCTTTCGATACACGTGAAGTGTCGTAGAAGAAAATAACTTGTTTAAATAGGCCAAATGTAATAATGTAATACAAACAAGAGTTTTTAAGATAAGAAATGTTATGAACACTCTACAGATTAATAAGGTCCATTTCCGTATAGTTATAATGTAAAAGCATAATTAGTATTACTTGTAACCAATTTGATTTTTATTGTTTAATTGCAAGTAAAACATTTTTTTACTTGCTAGCAGAGCATATACATAAACATATCAAATCCGTAATAGTGTGTTACAAGTGAACATGCTTACTTATTATATGATGAGTAACAGCAGAATTAAGAATGTATCGTAGCTTGACAAAACCTTTATCTTGCCGTGTGAAGATTTGGGTAAATTCTACCAATTCTTGACAAATTACCCACTGTATGGTCGTTTCCTTGATATAACTAACTGATTGGCGGGAGACATACGTTAACATTTTTGCAGAATTTATTCTAAAAATTACATTTTAGTAATACATTATTCAAGTAGATGTACATTTTAGAAATGAAGTAAGATCCAGTTGAGAAATTATTACAAGAAGGTTTGTAGTCTGTAAAAAAATATTCATTAGGAAACTGTTAAATGTTAAATCATGTTATTTTTTGATAATCTCATGTGAATGAACGACAGACATGTATTAAAAGCACCGTATGAACACATCTGTGGACGTTTCTAAATTCAAAATTTTACCAATTGATGATAGAATTTATTCATGTCTGTTTGACAGAATTTATTCATGTCTGTTTGACAATGTGTTAAACTTATAAACACTTAATTAAAATTTAAAGCAAGTCAATGTTTTTCTTTAATAACTTTCATAACAACGGTGTGCCTACTTACTAAGTTACACACATCACTCTTATGTCTGGTTGCATACATATCTTAAATATACCTTTACGAAGTATTCAATGGTATGCAGCAAACATGAGAGTTCCTTACTCACTTGACTGGAACAATATCACATACCATCGTACAAATGCCCAACAATAGTCCCAGGACCGCCATTGTCTTGGTTGGTCCACTTCCAATCGTTTCCACGTCTAACTCTACAGCCAATAGGTGCATGTTGTTGTAGGTATGTACCTTCTTTATATCGACTTGGGTGTAAATCGTTCTTAAATACTTTCAACGCCAATTCCTATTACATAAATTCGGAATCGAAATAAACCAGAGCTTTAGTTTGAACAGACATATACTTCTGTTTAAAGTATAGGACAAACAGGAATTTAAACTGCTATCATATTGCAAAGTGAACTGTCCATGTAAAGCTTCTTTAACGAAAGCATGAATTAGAAATTTATCCTTTCGGGAAATAAGTTAATATTAGTCAAATAAAATTGATCTGCAATAATTCAGATTTTCAAATTACCAGAAGGAATATTGAGGACATTTAGCAGGTTTAATTTTGCACCAGCCTTCTTACTATTGATCCAAATTTTAAATAAAAGATTTTATCGTACAAAACAATACATACCAGTTGCTCTACTGTTTTTTCTAGATCCGCCTCGTTAATGTCAGGCATGTTTCCCTTATGGATAGAAACGAGTTACAGTATAAATGTCATTTTTTTTAAATGTTTCAGAATTGGCTAGATCTGAAACACTTCGACTTAATTATCCACAATGAAAAGGAATTCTCATTAGTCAGAAATTCAAAAGTTCGATTATGAATTAGTGGCAAAATCGATATTAATGTTTAAAGTGCCTTCAAAATTATCTTTTTCAGTCAATATCATTTTACATTAATCCAGCATATAAAACACAGATAATAACATTAAGCATATTTTGCATACATTTACCTAGTTCAATTTAGAAATTATAAAAAAACTCATTACATAATAAAAATGAAAATTATAACCTCTTTTGTGAAATCATGTTGGTGTTTGCTTAGCATCTTTTGAACAAAAGACAACTGTGAGATTTGAAAACGCTGAAAAATGAGAAATTAAGAACCCTTAAAGAACGCAAAAAAACAACAAAAAAACGACAATTTAAAAATGATGTAGACTTGGTATAATTGAGCCATATTCATTGGCGGTAATGGAAAGTGCATCTTACCGTGCAAACCCCCTAGTACCGGCTTATGTATTATTAAACATTTTACATGGAATGTTTGAAAAATCAGCATATATGTTCATTGCCCTAAACGAGAAAACAATTGGCGGAAATAAATAAGTTGAAACTTTAAAAAAAGGATCGGAATAAGGAATGCTGCATATCACAGATAAGCTGTCAAAAGCAGGCAACAAATCCTAAAATTTATTAAGCAGAGTTCGAAGGAGGAATACTGGAATCATCCAACTAGAAAGTATCCGTAATGAAATAACTAAAAACACAAAAAACACAATATTCACAACGATAATGCCGTGAACGATCATGAATGATCAGAAATATAACAACCCTGATTGAATGGGCGGTATTTAAACATACAAGTTACTGTCTACGACCACTAGCACCGGCTTAAACAGAATTCAACATTTAATCATGGTAATGGTGAAATTTTGAACTAAGGAACATCCGCAGATGTGGTCATATGGCGGTTATCATGGATCCTTCAATGTGACTTTTGTGACATTCCATGAAAAAATTCTTATTTTCAAATCAGAAACATCCGTAGAAGTCACAGAACATGAAATAGATCTTTATTATAAAGTGCGTGAACATTATCTCTCATCGCTTCTTTTTCAAGTGCGTAAAATATAGGACCCAAGGAAATTCAATATTGTATAAAACGTGGTGTAACAAATCTTTGTTGTTGTAGGTAAAATATTTGTTAGTCCCTGACCAGGTAATACTTTGTGTATTATTGCTAAGTCTATACATGTACCTATTGCGATGAAATGCGTTCCGAGAAAGTTTCTCTCCTTTGTCAAACAGTTTTTAGGGAAGAAAACTGGGTACTAGATTGAAGTATAAAAAGGGGCTAGCGGACTGGAGTAAGCAACATCTTCGGTACGCAACCCCTACATTTCTCAAGGAATTTTAACAAAATCTTCACAGAGGATTTGTGCCCTGGTGTATATTGTCAGGGTTTTGTGATTCAATATTGTCACATTTTGTCTCAATTATGGACCTTTGTATTTTTCCTTACATAGAATATATAGTGAAAACTTTATTCTGTGAGCAACTTCTCTTAGATTTTTTAAAGATTTTTGACGAAATTGTCATATATGTTTTGTAATCAAGTGCCGTTGTGCATATTGCCGGGTCTTAGTGATAGATATTTTTTTTACCTTATTATGGCCCTTTGTTTATTTCCTAATATGTAATTTGGTGTGGAAATCTGTCTCTAGTCATTAACTTAAGTAAGGATTTATATATTTCAACCGAACTTGGTGTATTGCAAGGTTATGTGAATACCTTGCTTAAAATGGCTTTTGGGCCATCTGGGTCATCGTTACTAAAAGTAGAAAATCCGTTTTCGATCAATAACTTGAGTTAAGAATGAGATATTTCAATGAAATTTTGTTTTTAGAATGTTTACGTAAATATATTGCTTGCGATTGCTTTTGAATCTTCTAGCATCAAGGTCATTGTTACCAAAAAAAAAAATGGACAAATTCCGGAGTTTGGAATGAGATATTTAAAAGAAACTCGGTGTATAGAAAGTTTATGTGAGTATTTCGCTTGCTTGGACTCATAAAGGTCAGGAAAAGGCAACTGTTATTAAAATAGAAATATGAATGAGATTTTAATTAAACCTGTTTATTATTTTTACAGTACTTTAAAGCCAGCCTCAATTCAGATTGCTTTTGAGCTTATTAACTTATATTGTATGTTGCTAGAATTTATATATAAATGACAACCAAACAATGGTAATTACTGAAAATCTGTGTTTATCTATCTTGTCCCAAAACACAAGTACCGCGAGGTAGAGTGTACCGCTTACCATAATGATCCACTTTCAATATTCTTTTTTAAAAATTACCGGATTATAACATTAAATTTCGAATAAAATAATTTTACTTCCCTAAATATTGTTTCACTTTAAACTTACAACCTCCATAAAGCCTTTATAGTCAGGCTGAAGCCCTCGGGGCCATTATTTATTTTGCGGGCCGATTATCACTTTCCGGCCCTACTCTGCCGTGTATTAGTCTCTTAATAAACATTTTGTAACGAATATAATGACCATCTTGGAGAAGCTCAAGACGGTTAACGACAAACAAAGACGAATATGTCAGCCTTAAATTCTAACATGAATACATATTGGATTGTAAAGACTTGGACTTTACTATTTTTTTGCATTATTACGTACAACGTCCTAAATGCAGATTGGAGACATATTGTCGGTTTTTTTAAAACCAAAAGATGTTATACCTATTCACTCAGCTTTTTATATACTTGTTAATATTTGCTCTTTCATATAATTGTTAAGACCCTTGTGAGTCCTCTTTTAATTTTAGACTGAAGATTATCTTAATTTGGTGCACACGCATGCATTCGACTGCTTTAAAATTTAATTCTTTGAATACTATTTGCTTTGAAAAACTTGATGGTTAATTGTTTTGAATTTATATATTAAACTTGAAATTTTCAATTGTTTTAACTTATTTCAGGAACATTATGCTTTTCGCAATGTGATATTTGTTGTCGGTTACTTAGTAGAAAAGTTATCAAGCTAACTAGCATTGCTAATTTGAACTCGACGTTCTTGTTCAATCTCTACCAGTAGTATGAGCACCGGATCAGTGCCATTTTCTGCGCTTGCGCGGCAGCCATTTTGGATTATAGTTTGAATTACGTGAAGAAATCTATTTTGTTTTGGTTCTGATATATAAAAAATCAATAGTATTTATGCGGATACGTTACCAAGTTGTGTGTATTATATAATTAAACATACGAGACGCGTCCTATTATAGAGGGGATTAGAATACAACGGAGAAAAGGACAAAGGTGTATTTCTTAGTTTAATTACGGCTGTCAATATTACTAGAGTCTTAAGCAGTAATCATAGAGGAAGCTTTTTTATAGAAATTGGTCAGGTTTTTTAGTAGAATAAAGACTGTAATGCCATTAATCTATGGGGTCACTTTACAATCTTACACTAGAACTAGACTAAGTATACCACACTATAAATTATTGAGCATGACTGTCCCAAGCAAGATCACAACTGTTAAGCACTAGACAGATATAGATAAAGTATGGTCATATTATTTGAGATTATGGTAAGCATAGGAGAACTACATTACAAGTAAGCCATGATGGCTACAAAGTTTGGATAGATTATCCATCAATTATTTCAGTAGGAGATGATGTTCAAAGGTTTTTCTATTTTTAGCTTTAGCAGCCCCTAAAAGGTGCCAATCAAATTAATATGAGCAAACTTGAAAAACGAATGCAACAGACAAAGTTTGGTGATCATCTATCAATCATTTCAGTAGGAACTGATGTTCAAAGGTTTTTTCTATTTTTAGCTTTAGCGGCCCCTAAAAGGGGCCAATCAAATAAATATGAGCACACTTGATAAAAGACTACAAAAAATGCTACAGACAAAGTTTGGTGATCATCCATCAATAAGTTCTGTAGCAGATGTTTAAAGGTCTATTTTTAGCTTAAGCAGCTCCTAAAAGAGGCTAATCAAATTAATATGAGCAAACTTGATAAAAGACTACCCAAGAATGCTACAGACAAAGTTTGGTGGTCATCCATCAATTAGTTCTGTAGCAATAGACGTTTAAATGTATTCCAATATTATTTTTAGCGGCGTCTAAAAGGGTCAGCGAAAAAATTAATTTGAGCAAACTTGATAAACGACTTTTCGCGAATGCTAAAGACAAAGTTTGGTGATCATCCATCAATTATTTCAGTAGGAAATGATGTTCAAAGGTGTTTATCTGTTTTTAGTTTTAGCGGCTCTAAAGGGGACTAATCAAATTAAAATGAGCAAACTTAATAAAAAGACTATCCAAGAACGCTACGGACAAAATATGATGATCATCCATCGATGACTTATGCCAAAGGAGATGTTTCAAATGTATGTCATTTTAAGCCTTAGCAATCCCTTAAAGGGGCCAGTCATACTAATATGAGCAAATTTTGATAACAGACTACCTTAGAAAGCCACAGACAAAGTTTGGTGATAACCATTTAAATTGTTTTTTGAAAAGTAGACTTAAAGGGTTTTCTATTTTAAACTTTAAGCGTCCCCCTTTAAAAGGGCCCAAACAAAAATTTAAAATGAGCAAACTTTTAAAGACTAAAGTCAGAATGCTCTGACAAAGTTAATGATACCATCAAAAAAGTTTTGTAGAAAAGACGTCTCAGGTTTTTTTTCCCTATTTTTTGCTCTGGAAAACCCTTTAAAATGGGCAATCAAATTGCTATAAGCAAACTTGCTAAAAGAATTTCAAGGAATCCTACGTTTAAAGTAAAGTGATCATCCATCCATTAGATCTGTAGAAGCAGACATTTAAAGTTCTTTTTATTTTAAAGCTTCACCGGCCCCTACCAAGGACCAATCAAATTAATATGAGAAAACTTGATAAAATACTATTCAATAATTCTACAGACAAAGTTTGGTGATCATCTATCAATTATTTGAGTAGGAATTAATGCTCAAATGTTTTTTCTATTTTCTTTGCTTCAGCGGCTCTTACAAGGGGCTAATCAAAAAATATGAGCAAAATTGATGAAAGACTACCGAAGAATGCTACAGACAAATTTTGGTGATTATCCATCAATTATTTCAGTTGGAAATGAGGTTCAAAGGTTTTTTTCTGTTTTGAGCTTAGGCGGCCCCTTAAAGTGGCTAATCAAATTACCATGAGCAAACTTGATTAATGACTACCGAAGAAAGCTACAGACAAAGTTTGGTGATTATCCATTAATAAGTTCTGTTTTGGAGATGTTAAAATGTATTTCTATTTTTAGCTTTAGCAGCTCCTAAAAGCGGCCAATCATATTAATAGTATTATTATAAAA